AGTCATGGAATCAAACCAAAAATCAAAACTAATCAAATTAAAATAAAAAATTAGATTAAAAAAAATGAAAATCATGAGGCAAAAATAAATCATAAAGCAAAATCAATCAAGCCTCAAAATCAAAAAGTCAAAGACCTCAAAATTAAATCAAAAACAAATCTAAATCTAAATCAATACCAAACAATCCACCATCATTCCCCTCCTTCAGTGGACAGCGTTTGTGCACTGGGAGCCTAACAGGCAGCAACAACCATATTCCAATCTCACTACAATTTCAAGGACCCAATTAACAGTCTGGTGAACTTTAAAGGAGGGCGAGAAAGCAGCAGCAGACACAGTTAAATTGGTCCTTCATGGTTATAAAGTCATAAGACTCATTGTTTAGGCACCTATGCCAACACACCAGGTGTTCCAAAAAAGCCATTAAGCCCAAGTTGGACCACTCCAGTCCCAGACTCAGCTCCAAAGGCAACAGCTGGTGTCCTGACCTCAACTCCTTGGAAGTCAACAACCAGTGTTAGCCTGAAAGCAATACACTGGTCACAGATCCCAAAACACAAAGTAATGGCACTAAAGGACAGAGTAGCCGTGGATAAAAATTTAATGATAAACAGAAGATAAAGAGATTATATAGTGTATATGGAAATACACCAAATAAAAGAAGATAAATGAAGGTTACAAAATTGAATAACTGATGGGTAATAAAGGCACATGACACGCAGTAGTAGGCAATCCATTGATCTTTTCATGTTCTTCTGCCTCAGTGACTTTAAGCCACGTTGAGAGGCACGATGTGGGCCAAGGAGAGGTCACCAGTACGTCACTTGGCCCAATCTGATGTCATAGGACATAGGTGCAACACGACAAGTTAGACGGATGGTGCTGTTGTCTGCAGGAGTTTCAACTCGCAGTACTGGATAATGTCCCAAAGTGTTGGACACAATCATGCTGTGTACTAATGGTACTGTTGACTTCTGATGGCAAAATGTTGGTTTCTTGATGAACAGGAATGGAGACTTGTCAAGGAAAAAGAAGTTTAACACGTGCATCTCTGTACCAAGCAGGTCTGACTAAGCTTACAAAACGATGGACTTAAGTAGTCAACCATGTAAACCACACCTTCTTGTTGTCCCTATTTCTAAACGACCCAGGAATTTACAGTCTCCCCCATTTAGGAGCCAGGATGTCTCTGAGATATCCCTTCAACAAATGGCATTGCTAGATTGGGGAGCTGTAGATAACCAGATGTAAAATAGGTAAACCATTGGAGGTCGTTACATGACAAAGGGACTGCTCTCCACAGCCCCCACACATCCCCCAAGAGAGACATACAAAATGCAAACGAGATTAACAGAAAAGGCAACTGAAAAAGAAGGTTCAAGAGAAGTTACAAAGTTAATACAAATAAAGGAAAATTATATTTAACAGTACAACACAACATCCCAAAACAAACAAAACCACAAGAAAAATCAGCAAAACCATCCCCATTCTTATTAGGTTGGCTGTCCACTGGCCAGAGAATAACCATTCAAACCAACCTCCAGCCATTAATCAAGGACCTCCAGTATTTACTACATTTCTAAGTGCCCTTAATTGATCCATTATTTTTGTAAAATTACCTTCTTCGGCTGTGTGCACTAGAATGAACGTGCAACATTTAACACCAAAAAGAACGCAAACACCCTTATCTGGAGCCTTCATGATTTGTAGTGCCATATGAGAAGTAGCATCTAATTGATGATATAATAATTCTAGGGCCTTAATGGTGTAATTCATGAATCTTTGTTGATTGTATCAAATATAATTTAATTTTTTGCATTTCTAGCTGTTTGGGTTCTTGACAGGAACGCAAACAAACCTCGGCTTATGTCTGACATGACTTTGAATTCTGGCGGGATATTAACTGGAACACCATGCCCAGTTTAATGTTGGCTTCTCCACTTCCCAAGTATCTCTTTTCTGCCTAGTGGTTATCTGTCCCCATGCAAACAAAAGAACATTTCCACTAAGAGTAAGAGGAGCACAACAGTCTACCCAATTGTCTGATTGTCCGATTGTAGCAGCTCTTTTCCTTCTTTACAAATCCAAAATATGTCTGCTACAGGATTTGATCCTCCAGTGAAATCTGCGTCGAAGGTGGCATTTCCCTTAGTACTTATTACTTTAGTACCCTTATTATTGAATGGTTGCATTTAACACTTGGCCAAATCTGATTATAATACTATTGGCTCCCTCTGGTTATAATACTATTGGTCTTCTCCTTGACGAAAACAAAATGGGTATTTTACCCCACCATCTCTGATTACAGGTGGCGGAGAAGTAATTGGCTTACAGTTTTTTAAATTCTTGCTTGTAACCATTCTTGGGCTCAAACTGTCCAGTAAACAGAGCGAGGCACATATTGTAAGACCTTCCCAACACTCTTCTAGCCCTCCTATAGCTACTATTGTTGGTACATGTTTAGTGTGACGTGCTATACAATCTTCATTGATGTTAGTCTCAGCAGTATAGCGCAAGTAACAATACAACATATTTTGTGATGCATATTCCGTGACTACTAACCCTCTTTCCTCAGATTCATCAGCATACCAGTATGTGCCTTACGTCTTCCCTTCCTAACTCCATCACTTCATGTGCCTGCCATTTCAACAACAACAACTCTCTTAGAATTATTTCTTATTATTGTCTCATAGCAAATGATTGGCTCACATTGGTAACCCTCACAAAAAATGATTCACATTTTACTCCTACTGTCATTCTTATAGGGACTTCACATTGATCAGTTTTTGGAATCCCTACTCCTTTCATCTTCCCTTTAATGTCTTTTAGAAAGGCTTTGGTAGCTGTGCTCCTATACACTACGTAAAACCCTCCTGCTTGTAGTGAGTGATTGTTCTTAAGGAGCAACAAAAGAGATAACACAAACTGTAGAACCCTTTGTTCTTCCTACTGGGAGCCATATTGGGCCCTACACAGTTTGGTTCTTGTGTACAACTGGAAATACCTGGAAACCTTAGGCAGTGGTGAGATTGGTTGCATTTTTGTGTCCCTTTTATCACTGTCCATTCGTGTAACATCTTGAAATCATTCGATGTCCCCCGGAGTCCCTGGCAGACGTTTTGACTGGAGATTGGACAGTAACATTCACACCATCAGTCAGATTCCAGGTTTGTCGCACAAGTGAGTACTCTTTTCATTTGCTCATGGGAGTAGTGAATGTAGTTGGTTTCATTTGTGTCATTTTACAGACAATGCATTCCTGTTGGAGGGTTGTATCTTGCATACAACGTGCACACAGTCAGTCCTAGTACAGCAGTGGTGATAAACATGACCAAAAACCTCATCAAATAGGTCACAGCTGCATTCTCAAGTCTGCTCAATTTCATTACCAATGCCTTAATCTGAGTCATCGCTGTCCACTTGTGCAGGTGGTGTCTCTGGGTGGGCTTGAGCTCTAGTTTTTGGTCCGGTGGATCCACTTGGTCTTGCCTCTTGAGAGTCATCAACTTCATGGTCTTGTTCTTCCTGTTGAGCTGGTGGATGGTCTGTAGTCTGACTTGGCTGACGTGACGTGCAGAGGGTGCTCTGGAGCAGTGGTATAGATGGATCCATACTTTTCGTCCTTCTACCTTGACTGCAGTTGGAGTGGCTAGGGCCACCGTGAAAGGACCCTCATGTTTTGGTTCCTGCCAGCCTCTTCTGAAGGTCTTTATGTAGGGCACTTGTTTGAGCTCTTCTTCTCTATTTTCTGACTTCCGCCCCTCGATCACTCGTTTACCTTCTCCTTTTCCTTCCAAACAGTAATATTTATATAGCCTTACATGACAGCGCTGGTACATACTCACGTGTTGCTGGTAACAAACGTGTTTCATTCGATCTAAGCTGTGACTTTATTATTTATTTATTTACTTTATATAACTCTAATTACAACTCGCTCAAATCACAGTTACAAATTTACAATAGCTATAAAATACCACTTATTAAATCGCAACGGCATAACCCAGTGAATAAAAAGCCTGTTCCCACTTATAGAGCAGAGCTTCAAAACAGCTGTCTTTCAGGCTTGTCTGTTGTTTCCCTTAGTAGAAGGCCACCAGAAAATGTTGGGACCTAGAGCTATGCCTAGTGTGGGCAATAGGGACAGCTCTAGGTTCCAACATTTCTCCTTTGGAGAGAATGGTTCAAAGTGATTTTGAAAAAGAATGAAAAAGACTCCAGCTGCTGAGCTCTTGTGGAAAGAAGGAAAACCATATTACTCCCTATTATACCCCAAATCTATACCTTTTTTTGGTAACCCTTAAAACCGAATGAGTATGGTATATATTTTTTTTTATAAAACAGGTGGTCTGCTCTAGTTCGTACCAGGCCGTCCTACCCTTACAGGGACGGTTTATCACCGTCAGAAATTCCATACACATATGGCTTATCCTCCTATATTACCTCTTTGAGAGAGTTCCAAACTCCCTAGTCAGCCAATATTTAGTTTATTGATTGTTAATTAAAGAAGTTTTATTCAATTTTTGCCATCAAGGTCTTCCTACATTCTATGCATGGATATGACTGTACTCATGTGTGAATGCGCTGGTGTTTTTGGAAACTACTCTGATGACTAAAACTCATCCCACACTCCGAGCAGGTATACGTTTCTCTCCTGTGTGAATGCGCTGGTGTATGCGGAGATCACGCCATGTAGTAAAACTCTTTCCACACTCTGAGCACTGATACAGCTTCACTCCTGTGTGAACATGATGGTGTGCTTGTGTAATAAAGCTCTCTTCACACTGTGAGCACTGAAACAGTTTCTCTCCTGTGTGAACGAGCTGGTGTCTTTTGAGACTACTCTTTCTAGTAAAGCTCTTCCCACAATCTGAGCAGTGGTGTTTGCCCAAGTTCTTTTGTGCTTGTTCGTGAGCTGTGTTCTTGCAGAGGGTAGCAATGCAGGTTTTCCTAGAGCTTCTAGACACCATTTTCCCCCACACTCTCACAAGTGTGACATATTCCTCCTGGTAGCTTTCCTGATTTGGTTGTGGAAGGTAATTTTAACTGTGTAGGAATGTCGACAATAGAAGAAGGACAAAACTTGCAATTGAAGGTCATTAGTTTCTGGAAAAGACAAAAAGGGGGAAACAAGTCAAATTTAAGGAACACAAACAATAAAATAGGGACAATCAGTCTGTCTTGTCAGTGATTAAAGTAGTCAAATTAAAAATCAAGTCTAGCAGTGTTTAGCAGTGATGGCTTGTCCATTTGATTACAGAGTACACCAGGTGGATGCTGGACAGCGATATGCGCAAACCTTGATGCTGGCACATTTCCCTCATCTGTGCCTCTGTCTACATCTGCTGACTAGAATGGCTGAAAAGCTGGTTGAGTTTGTGAAAACAAAAAATGATGCTTATTGGCACAGTGTGCCTGATATTCAGTGAATCTTTTGTGCTGTGAATTATATTTGTAGGCTCACAGGTGACAGGGCAAAAAAAACAAAAACTGCCCAAATACAGATAAGGTTACCTACCCCAGATGAGATACTAACACATTAGAAGACTGCCTAACTTTTTTATAGCATGCATATATCCCTGTTCCCTTTGCTTCTTAGGGCCTCTCTGATCACAGTCTAGTTCCCAAGCTTCAGGCAGAAGCTAAAATCTGCTAAACTTGTGGTCAGTACTGTGAAAAAGTAGACAAATGAGGCAAAAGACAAACTGCAATGTTGTCTGGAAGAAACTGAGTGTGTTTCAGCATGCAGTCAATGATCTGGAAGAATACATTCTTCTTTGAGAACATCTGTGTTCCACGACTGGAATTGTATACAACAACAAAGCCTGGTTCAACACCAAACTCGGACAGCTTCATCAGTCCAATACTCTGAATACAGAGAAAAAGCAGCAAGCTGAGTTGCATGCCATCAGCTGACAAACTATCAGCTGTATGGGAAAGCCTTAAAGACATGACCAGCTACATAAGACTGTGTCTCCAGACAATAGGTGATCAAGTCACACCTCATTCAAACCACAGTACAAACATTAGCACACCTCTCCCCTCAACTCTGACTGACATCCAGCCCGCACTGAAGATCCATGAAGAGGATATCCCACAACTCTTCAGAGACAGAAGGCCCTGATGGTAGTTCACCCACTTGTCTGAAGGCTAGTGCAGACCAATTTGCACCAGTCTTCGCACAGTTGTTCAACTGGAGTGGTGTAAAGTACCTTCATGCATTAAATGATCCATAATAAAACCCATGCCTAAAAGAAGCAACCATTACAGGTTTGAATGATAACATACCCATTGCCCCATCTCTATAGTCATGAAATCCTATGAGACACTTTGAATAAGCACACCAGAAGGACAACACCAACCCCTTGCTGGATCTTCTGTAGTTTGCATGGACCCTTTGCAGTCCTCCTGCCAGAGGAACACCAACTTTCTGCCAAGGGGGGTGGTCCCTGAAAATAAACAATCAAATAGACAATCAAATAGACAATCAAATACAAATTCTGGTACAGGTCATTGTTCAACCTGCTTCACCCACAACTGGTAAACTTCTGTTTTTGATATTTTTAACCAACTAGAAATGCAGCACTGTTCTGCCTCAGGGTGGCGCTGTAGCAAAATGATTGACCTAGTTGGTTCTTCATAGCCTAGCAACTAAAGAGATTGATGGAAATTAGAGCTGGGCGATATGGCCAAAAATGTTATCACGATAAACAAAATTCATATCGTTCGATATCGATACATATCGCGATAAATGTCAAATCATTATGTCTTTCAAGTTTGAAGGCTGATTTTTGCTCCTGGGTGGTTAATTGCTGTTTTAAACTATCCTTTATGGTCAGAACATGACAAACACTCACCAAACAGTGGAACATTTTCTGATTAGCTATTTTTATCAGCTGGAAAAGCACAGCCGCAGTTTTTGTCATAATTTAAGAAAGAAATTTTATTTTTAGCTGTCTGGTGACGAGCACTCGACTATCCCGTTACAAATGCTAAACAAGTGGCCAACAACAGTGCTGAACTGTTTAGTTTCTCAATCAACTTAGTACGAACAGAAAACATTAGCTGGCTCGGTAGGTCAGTGATGGATCACACCGCCTTACTGCCATCACTCCTACCACAGCCATGTCAGAGTATATCACAGTATTCAAACACCAGATAGCAGACAACTGGATTTCTCTATTCTATCGTAGTAGTTTAACTGCAATAAACAGAGTCCTTTTTTTAGGTACGTTTAAACTCAAAGCGGTGCTTTTGTGTGTTGTTTGATCTACAGTATCATCAATTCTCCGTGTTGTGTGAGTGACAGAGCTGCTTCAAGTTAGCCAGCTGCTAAAAACAGCTAGCCTGGAAAAACAGCGCTTTCCTGCTCTCCAATGCCTCACAGCTTCCTCAGTGTTCTTTCGTTTAAATCAGGGCTATAACTCACACAAACTCGCTTCTTTCTTTCACTTTCATTGCTTGGGAAAGCACTAATACTAAAATATGACTGAGCGCTGTAATAGTGCTGTAGTTGAGAGGAGCAGGCATGATTTAACGCTGCTAAAGCTTGTTTGGATGTACAGAAAGAGGTTCACTGTAGGTCAGTACAGTTACGCCACTGATCTCATCACTCACACTCGGTCACAGGAGAACAGATGGCCGGTCGCTCCACTCAAACAGGGAATGTTCAGATATTGCTAAAGTATATTTGGCGACTCAAGTTTTACTCGTTGTCCCCTCCCTCCCTAATCATGTAGAAAAACTCAGAAGTGCACCCTCTCCTAGGGACAGCAGAGTAGTGTCGCTTTCCTTGCAGAAAATGCCACCAGGGCTTTTGCTAGAAACTGGAAGCGTGAGAGAATGTTGTATTATATCGAAAATTTATCAAACCTTTCTTATTGCTCTATCGAGGAAAAGTTATATCGCGATAATTATGATTATCGTTTTATCGCCCAGCCCTAATGGAAATAGTGAATTCTTACTCATTTACACAAACAAAGACACTAGATGAGGTGTGTAAGACTTCAATGTGAGGAATGCCACAGTACCAAACTAGAAAAGAGCATTTTCAAAAAAAAGAACCAAACAGTTAGCTAGCATCAGTGTCACTATGGTAAGTGAGTTAGCAGCCAGCCAACACTAGAGCACTAGAGTCTTTCATGTCCCTTGGAAGAGGAATAGATTACTGCCCACAGATTGATTTTTACAAATGGCTATATGAATGAAGAAATATCCGTCCTCAGGCGTCTGAGCCCATTCTCTGCCAGTGAACTGTGGGTTGCCTGTGGGTGCCCCTGTGGGAAACCAAATGATATTGTAGGGGTGAAGCAGAACCTTGTAAGACATTCGTGCCCAGGGGCCTTGCAAGACCCTTATCTGTCCCTGCCCGGGAACAACAGTCATCATGGACCTGAATTGGGACACTAACATCCACTCTTCAGAAGGAAAGCACAGCAGAGAATGAATGTACGTCATGTAGCAGCTGAAGAAGTTTAAACTACCTCAGGTACTCCTGGTTAATTTCTACAGAGCCATTTTGAATGTTTGAGCTAATATTTGTTAGAATGTAGGAAAATGAAAACATTGGAAAGTTACAGCCTTAATGAATAAAACACTGAAGTCTATTTGAATTGTTTAGTGTTTTTTCTTCTCAGCTTTGCTGCGACAAACGTCAGACAAAGACTTTTCTTTTGGCTTGGTTCTAGGGGCTGGGAGCTGGGATCGATCAAAAACGTGGACCATGAATCGAAACATAGAACAGTAGGCCTGTGTGATATCTAAAAATATTTAGCATCATATTTTGTAGTTTAAAAAATTGCAATTATTGGTAATCGTCCCACCCACATGCCCCAAAACAAATACATGTGGTCTGTAGATGAGGTCACGTTTTGCGTGACTGTCACACCCATCCGCACAGATGTCAGGAGCCGACCCCGGAAAGCTAATGTGGTGAGTATTCCCACAAATGGGTTGGTTTCAAAGTCTTTTCTCTTACCAGCAACTATTTACTGCCATCAGGTTTCTTCTGTCTTTCCAGCCCTGATTGACTCTGGAGCAAAAGGAAACTTCATCTACATACAGATCATAGAACAACTGAAAATCCCTGTGGAACCCTTGATGACTCTGTTACACATGGTCACCTTCGATGGGGATCCAGTAGGAGCTGGATCCATCACACTAAAGACCAAACCTGTTAAGACTTCATACCAGTGCCTTGCACTCTGAACTTATTTCCTTTTAGTTCTTGACTCCTCAGAATTCTCTAGTATCTTTGGATTACCTTGGTTAGAAAAACATAACCCACGCATCTCATGGTCTGTGCCTGAACTACTGTCTTGGTCTGAATATGGTCAACAGCACTGAATTACATTTCCCCCAGTGTCAGTTAGGTCTACTTCGATAGAGAGTCCTAATACTGAGGCCACTCTTAATATTTCTGATGAGTATGCTGACCTTCTTGAGGTTTTCAGCGAATGGAACGCTACTAAGTTGCCTCCTCATTGTCCGTACAATTGTACTATCAACCTCATTGAAAATTCTACTCTGCCCAAATCAAGAATTTACCCTTTAACTCAAGAGGAGGAGTGAGCTATGGGCACATACATTCAAGAGGTACTAGAGCAGGATTGCATTAGACCTTCAACCTCGCCTGTTGCTTTAGGTTTCTTTTTCATGAAGAAGATTACTTACCCACCGGAAGTGGGTAAGAAGTACCCTTACCCACTTCCGCTCATTCCAGTAGCCCTGGAACAACTACAGGGAGTTCAGTATTTCACTAAACTGGACCTTCGTAGTGCACGTAACCTTGTTCAGGTAACAGTGTTCAGGTAACAGTGTTCATCAGCAATAGAGGGCACTACAAATACTTAATAATGCTGTTTGGTCTGTCTAATGCTCCGAATGTGTTCTAGGCTTTCATTAGTGATGTGCTAAGTGATATGATAGGTAAACTTGTAATCACTAACATTCATGATTTCGTCATCTCCTGAATTACGTTAGTAATTAGTCCTCTCTATTTCTCTCTCAGTTCTTTTATCAAAATGGCAATTTGCGCTTTTTACATGTACCCCTTTAGATTACATACCCATCATTGGCGATATCCGAATACATTGCCCTGTTGCCCAGGCCGACTGTCGATCATCATATGTAAGAAGAGAAAATCGGCCAAATGTGAACTAAATCTGAACGTTTCCCTACCCATGTTTATGAATTCATTAAGAGAAAAAACAGAGAATGAACCAAGAACCACTGCTGTTATTTATTGTTATAACTGACTATTAATGCTTTTAAGCTGTATATATCCTTTCTTCTGGGTCATGGGGGGAGCTGGAGCCTATCCAAGCAGCAATTGGGCAGAAGGCAGAACACACCATGGGCAGCTCGCCAGTCCATCGCAGGGCAGACAGACAGACAGACATACATGAACACTAGGGGTACGGGAAAAAATTGATTCTTAGATGCATCGCGATGCGGACGTGGACGATTCTGAATCGATTCACAAAAGTCAAAAATCGATTTTCTAAATATTTAATTTATAATGTAATGTTGATGGAACGCAAAAGGCGGAACTTGGAAGTGGGTAAGTGCAGCGCCCGGACAGTCTGTGGCGGCACATAACAAAAACACCACTGGATGAGCGAGAAATCCGACCGGCTCCCTCTGCATTAAAGCCAGGTTAGGTCAGGAGTCACAACACAAATGATAAGAAGAGACATTTTACCTTTCAACAAAAATCAAACCAGCTTGGGAGCCGCAACATTTAATGTCTCAGCTTGTGCTGATGTCCTAGTTTAGGCTAAACAATATAACTTACTTGACTTATGACTTTTTCTGCTCTGCTTTAAGCTTTAGCTTTAGCCGCTTTTCTTCCATGTCTGCCAGAAAACTTTCCCTCAAAAGTTGAATAGTTTCTTGTAAAATGTCCTGTTGTACGAGGCTGAAGTCGCTTTTCACTCGCCAGCTTCTTGCTGAACTTGCCCGTTCCACCTTAAATTCTGACTGAGGCACCAAATGTAAATTCGGCACCATTTAAGGTGGAACAGAACAATTAGAACGAGAAGCGACTTCATCTTCGCAACCTTTTAGTTAGTGTGTGACAGTCTCTTGTTGCAGATTTAACGTATCAGGAAACCAACTGAATATATGCGAATAAGTCTGTTCATCTCCAAATGTTCATCTGTCTTTCTCTTTTCTTTTTTCGTTCGCTACTAGCCAGGCGAAACCTCGTTGCTACGTGAGAAATGCCAGTTCTCAGTCGTTGCGAAACAGGGCTTTTGCGCTCCCCCCCTCTATCACGAGCCCAAAACTGTTATGAAATCACTAAAGAAAACGGGCAGGAAGGCTGTAACACGCTGCATGGTCATCCATCACCACTGGATCTTATTTCACCGTAACAGCGCATTTTATCACAGATGAGTAGCAGCAGCGTCTCATGTGCGCCAAACAAGAATGAGAGCCTTCCAGTTCA